TGTTTCCTCTTTGCCAATTTGGATGCCTTTAATTTCCCTGCCTTGCCATATAGCTCTTGCTAAGACTTCCAGCACAATGTTGAATTGGAGTGGTGACAATGGACATCCTTGTCTGGTTCCTGTTTGCAGAGGTAGGCTTTCAGTTTCTCTCCATTGAGAGTAATGTATATGTGCTTTTAATTATGTTGAGGAATTTCCCTTAGATTCCTACTTTGTTGAGCATTTTTATCAGGAATGGATGTTGGATTTTGTCAAATGCCTTCTCTGCGTCAATCAATATGATCATGCAGTTCTTTTACTTTTTCTTTTTTATGTAGTGGATTACATTGATTGTTTTTCTAATGTTGAACCATCCTTGCATACCTTTTATGAAACCCACTTGGTCATAATGCATTATTTTTTAATGTGCTGCTGGACTCTATTGGCTAGGATTTTGTTGAGAATTTTTGCGTCAATGTTCATGAGGGATATTTGTCTGTAGTTTTTTTTTTTTTCTTAGCAATATCCTTGCATGGTTTTGGTATGAGGGTTATGCTTGCTTCATAAAATGTATTAGGAAATTTTCCATCCTCATCTATATTCTGAAATAATTTGAGAAGAATTGGTGACAGTACTTCACTGAATATTTGTAGAACTCACCAGTGAAGCCATCTGGGCCTGGACTTCTTCCATTGAAAATTGGAACAGGGAATGTACGAAGTATGAATCTGGGAAATTTGGAAGTTGTCAAAAATGAATTGGAACACAAAAACATTGATATTGTAGGCATTAGTGTGCTGAAATGGAATGGTATTGTCCATTTTGAATCTGACAACCACATGGTTTACTATGCCAGGAAATACAAATTGAAGAGGAATGGTGTTGTATTCATTGTCATAAAGAACATATCCAGATCAGTCATGATGTACAACAATGTCTGTGACTAGATAATATCCATGTTAGTATAGGGAATCCCAGTTAATACCTATTATTCAAATTTATGCACCAACCACTAAAGCCAGTTAGGATGAAATAGAATTCTACCAACTCTTCTGTCTGAAATCTATTAAACATGCAATCAAGATGTATTTATCATTGCTGGTGATTGGAATGCAAAGGTTGGGAGCAAAGAGAATCAGTAGTTGGAAAATATGGCCTTGGTGAAAGAAATGATGCTGGCAATTGCATGATAGAATCCTGCAAAACCAATGATTTGTTCATTTCAAATACATTCTTTAGACAACATAAGAGACACATGGACCTCATCAGATGGAATACCTAATAATAAAATTGACTATATCTGTGGAAACAGATGATGGAAAAGCTCCATATTCAGTGAAAACAAGGCCAGGGGCAGACTGTGGAACAGACCATCAATTACTCTTATGAAAATTAAAACTGAAGCTGAAGAAAATGAAAACAAGTCCACAAGAGCCAAAATATGACCTTGAATATATCACCCTGAATTTAGAGATCATCTGAAGAACAGATTTGATACATTGAACGTTAAAGACTGAAGACCAGAAGAGTTGTGGGATGACATCAAGAACATCATACA